AGCCTTTGCAGCCCTTATGCTTCCCAGCGTCACGTCTGCCCTGCAGTCATCTAGCCTGCCTGTTAGCCAGTCAGCCACACTCTCTATCTAACTCCACTATATCCTGATTCAACGGGGGCGAAAAGCTGATTAGCTGGTCAGAGGGTCAACCTCCATTTATTATTTAATGGGTGAGAGCCTGCAAACAGTCAGGCTGGCCGCCGAGGTTAGTGATACATTACACTGACCTGGCCAGAGGAGAGCTGCTCAGGCGAACACAAACATGCTCTCTCATCTACTTCACTATGCCTGAGCCGCCCTCAATCCCCTGCCCCTGACCTTGCTGCTCCCTTTCCAATCACCCATCCTTCCTCCCTTCTCCGGCATTCAGAATGCAGCAGGTGAGAGACTGTTTCATTTTTATGTAAGTTTTCACTGTAGGAGCGGGCCTTTTGCTCTGTCTGGCCGAGGCAAGAGGAGGAGGCGGAGGTAGAAGAGACCATAGCTCTTTTATTGACATGCAGCAAACATCAGTGGTGGAACAAAGGCCACTCAGCACCTATTGAGAGAGCAGGCCTGCAGACAGGGTGGTTGATTAGCGATTCGACACAGGGACCTGGACTGTGTAGCACATAATGAGAGCTTAGGGAGCAAGCCATGAGCCGATGGGGGAAGGAGGTAGCGGGCGGGCTGCGGATAGAAAAGGGAAGAGGCAGGGCTCCACCACAAGGAATTGATTTCCTTCAAAAACAGACGGATGTATGAGTAAAAATGCGCCAAAGGAAAAAAAAAAAGGCAAAAAAAAAAAAGGAGGCAAGGGTAGGGGTACATCCTAAATCCTTAAGCTACAGCAGTGGTAATGTGTTTATATATAAACAGTTAGAGGATAAGCCCTAAATCCACTGCCAAGCTAAATGGTTTATGAATCTTTTTTTGTTTGTTTATTTCTATGTCAATTAACCAAATTGGTCCGACATCCCTGATGAGCAAGAGATCAAAAGTGAGTTAATGCTGCATGTCCAAAAGCGTCTTTCTCCCCGAACATTACGTTAACCTCATCTTCACCTCTCACGTTGCCGCAGAGAGATGTTAGCCGAGATGTGCATCACGGCAGTTTGTGTGTGTGTGTGTGTGTGTTTTCTTCTCTTCCCCTACACGCTCTCCTCTTCCTTTGTTCCACTGGTCTAATCCAGTATGTGTGGGCCGGTAAGTTTAATGGAAACAATTTATTAAGTCCGGCTTAAAATGCCATCTGCAGCTAAGCCTCCCAAAGCCGCTAAGCTCCTGGTTTCGCCCCAGAGCTTGCTGTGTTCACGCTTACTGTAATGCTCTGTTTAAAATGAGCACAACGGGTCAAAATTAATCAGGATTACAAGGGCACAAATCCACTTCAGAAATGGGTTTTCTACCAATCTTTCGCCTGCTATCCCAAGATGCCCCAGGTTTCTCTGGTGGATGGCACACAGCGTGGGTTTACAATCACTCTGTGGCAGGTAGCATCTAGCTAAGACAATAAGGCATCAGTGAAAACTAGGAAGCAATCAAAGAAGGTATATACACTATACTTACTGCTCTAAAACCCACAGATGCTACATTCAGCACAGTCGGTGCACATTCCTCAGTGTTCCTCTCAGATATTTCTAGCTGCTGACAGCTAGGTGATAACTCCCCGGCACATCCATATGCCCGGCATTCTGAAATGTCACGAGAAGGCCTACCAGTGAGGTGTTTATCTGTGCTCTGTGGAGGTGCCCTGCGAATGCTCAGCAGCTACATTTAGATTCTCATTTGCCTTCAAGCAAGCGACAACGGTAAACTATGACCTGCGATTCAATAAGAGCAGCCCTGAGTGGAGAACGAGTTCTTTTACTTAAACATGCCATCCTCCAGGAAATCAATAATTTGCAGGAGGTTTAAGACAGCAAATAAACAAAAACCAATACGTGTTAGATAATGCTTGACCTCTGCTGCACCTTCCTACATCATAACCAGCAACACAGGCAGACATTCAGTGCAACTTCTTGCTAGCTCTTGGGTAACAACACCCAAAGAGAATTGCAGTGTGTGCTCTGTTATTACAGATACTATTCACTTGTGCTATTACCAGTAGTGTCAGCTTACATCTATAACAGGCTGTCAACATGCTAGAAATGCAGAGATGATGAAAAGTAAATATGAGGGAAAGACGGCGAGGGTGTCTGGGTTTTGCACAAAACCCTGTCCTGTGTGCATAATTACAGCGCTCTGCCATCAGTGATTACAATGTTGGTCTTTCTTCTCCTCTATTAACCCTGAACCGTTTCATTAACATGACAGACTGTGGGCCTGTGTACAATTTGGAGTTAACCTCGACTGTTTGTACACGTAATCGCAAAATAAAGTTCAGAAAGGAGCACGACACTGAAGAGCGAGGAAGAGGTGAAAGTAAGAGAAACACTCATTATCTAGCAATTTGTGGAAGCCAAACATCATCACAGCATTACATATTTATGTGTGCCATAATGTTTCGGTGTGTGTGTGCCTGAGTGGGGTTGCGTGCACACAGAAATCTGTCTGAGAGTCTTCCAGCCAACAGCTCGACAGGCCTGGTGATCAGTCCTATAGGATCGTGAGCGAGACGGGTAATGGGACACATACTCTCCATTCTAAACCAGAGGAAAACAGCCTGTGGGCTGCTTTGTATTGCACACACATTATACGTACACAGAGGAAAAACCAGCCTAGGTCTGAAACAAACACTGTCCTAGAATCCATTACAGCTGGACAACAACTCTGGAATGGGCGATGAGGCTGGCTGGCAGCTCTGCAATTTTAGCGTGATAACTTCTTCCTCACTGTCACCAAATCACTTCATCAAACTGCTGAATTTCTCTGTCGTCTCTCCCTTTCTAACCTCTAATTCTAATCTGGTGTCCTTCGTTTGCATCGCCCAAACAGAATCTGGTTGATCTGTGTGATAATCAGGAGCCTCTGATTGGATTGTCGGGATGTAATTCCGTGGACCTAATCCTCAGCTCTGTGTGAACATTAGCCAGATCCACAGAGGTCTTTCTACACTGGCTAAAATGGAAAATATCAAGTACGCACATGCCTGCGCAGTTCTATAGGGTAGAGTCTGCTTATATGCAGCCATGTTCTGCATAAACATAAAAGTAAGTCAACACCCTGACAGCTGACAACAGCAGTATTTCAACAGCCTGGTGGGGAATAGTTGTTGTTTGATGTGGTCTAGTTGTTTTCTAAACCATGCAAGTCTGGAAGTCATTGTCATTGTGAATGCTGGTTTCTTAAGGCCAGTGCTGGTCACAGGTCATCTACATCACACAGTCTGCAAGCCTGGTTTCTCTCCCTGCTGTCAGCCATGCTTTTCCACTCAGCAGTCAAAGCTACTGTGCTAAAGAAAGCAACACTTCGGAGCAACAGATCACTTTTGTTACATTACGTCCTTACAGCAAAAGATCTTTTAATACATTTTCAACAATATAACAGTATCAACAAATACATGTATGCATCCCTAACCGTCACATTATAATACACAAATCTTATTGTTGAGTCTGCAGACATGCCCCCCTCCAAAACCCACCTTATATTTTGCACTGTTTTAAAGCTCCACCTCCCTCCCTCTCAGTCTGTGTTAATGGGACCCCTTCCTGGTTCTTGCCCTGAGGGAACACGGTCTGCATGCTGCTATCTGTCAGTAGCACCTCTTCTCTACCAGGACGGTGTTGGTGCCTAATTTACAACTGCTCCTACACATTTCCACTGTGCCCCTTGTCCAAGAAAAAAAAAAAAAACTGGTGCCGGTGCAAAAAAGTTGGCAACAGCAGAGAATTTCAGGCACCAAATTCTGAACACTGACACTGACGCGCTACTGTAACTTCCTGTTGCAAGGCAGATCTGGCTTCTCACTGTTAGCAGGACAACATTGGTGGATGTGATGTAGAGTTGGCTGATCATGCTGCTCCTCTACTGCCTGCCCCTGTGTGTTTCTCTTTGCGCTGACCTGTCGACCAGGATTGGGTGATTTGACTGGGCTGGATCTTAGCCAAACCTACACTGCACTACTGTTTTTTCTGTTTTTTGTTTCTTTTTTTGGGCCAATTTATTGGATTGCCAACTTGATAGACTTTACAATGAACTTGTAACAGTAACAACATCGCAATATGATGTCTCGTTCCTTTTTGTTGTGCTGAAGTAGACTGAACATTTCTTCAGGAGCCTGTGAAGATCTGTTTGGTAAATATGGTGGACGTTAAGTGCTGTACAACAACCTCGAAGCCTTTGCTAGGTACGCTAGTTGCAACTTTTTCTCCAACACTATCACATGTTACAGTATCTGCAGCCTCATCATTTAGTTACATGTTACTAAATGGGGCTGAAAGCACTCATGCATCTGATTGGTTCATCTTTCTGTTATTTCAGGTGTGTTGGGGAGCAAGCACTTAAAATAACATGTATTTACCACACGCACTGCACCATTACATGTGTTAAATATAGAGGTGCTTCTGTGCTTGCATAGTTTCTGTATCACCTGCCTAATATACACAGTATGTCACTAGGTGCATGAAACCACACAAATGCAAAAACTGCATCAAATCATGCTCATCCTGTGCAAAAGCAAAGGACTTGTAATCCATACATGTGCATATGGATGCACGCACACTGAATTTGTGCTGTCTGGGGGGCTGACAAAGCTCTTTCTGCCTTTTTCCTTTGGCATCCATTATGGTCCAGGCCTGCTGTCAGAGAGCTTGTATTGCCTGAGGGGAAGTTCCCATTTGTGGGAGCATGTGGCAGAGAGGCTCTAAATCCCCTCTAATGAACCAATATGTAGGAAGGCTAAGCCTTTGGCTAGGTCGTCCAAGAAACACCACTCTGCGCCCTGGCAAAAATGTATGCATATGTAGTCACCAGACCTTGTTTATGTCTGCTGACATTTAAATCTGAATGGACCCAGTAGCTGATGTGAATAAATGAGGAGGAAAGACTGCGGTGAAAGAGAAAAAGCAGAGTGGGCTTACCTTTGGGTGTGGTAGGGGAAAAGAGCTTCTCCGATCCTACATCAGACACCTGTTAAAAAAAAAAGGACAGCAGACCTTTAGTGGATTTGTCTCATTAGCTGGGAAGCAAACACAGATATATACTTTTGTTTTTTCAGTAAAAGGCTTATCCAGCCACAAATGTGGTCATAAGTGCTTAGAAGTAAAGTTCATCTCCCACACACAGCATTACACAGTCAATCAACAGTCTTCAATCAGCCAGTGCAGAGAACTCCCTCTGTACCAAGTGGTCCTAGTCTGATTTTTTCCTGACGAGGAAACATTAGGTGGCACTGTTGTGCCACCTGAAATCCCTTAAAGGAAATGCTGTCAAAGACAGCAGAGACGGAGGAAGTCAGAAGATGGCTATGCAGCGTTACGAACACAAAGGCTCCAGCACCCTCTCTCTAGCCCTCAGAAATGATATTTCATTTTGTGTTATTTTTCAAGAAACGTACATATCTCACGAATAGAATATGTCTCTCATTTAATATCGACGACAGTATCAAAGTGATGACCAATCGTTTACAGACGTGGCTAATGCAAATGACACTGAGCAGCGGAGAGACCTGGTTGTCTATATTAAAATGGTGCTTGGGCAAACGCATGAAGAAGAAAGCCATCTGTAGTATATTAAACACAGAAGGATTATTTTGCCCTTGAATTTAGAACACCTAATAAAAGTAACATCAGCTATTTCTGCAAAAAACATGGCCGCTGACCACACAGCAAGTCAAAACAGCAGCAAAGCCACATTGTTCAAAAACACTGTCTGCGTGCTTGGAGGACGGCATTAACCATGAAAACCCTCGGCCTGTAACAGCAGCCAATATAGGGGCTTTGTTTAAAGCCACTATTTCCCTTTGCTTTAGCTGCTCTCATCTGGGATCTGCCGACTTGTAAAAAGCTGCAAAAGCTGAACATATGTTCCACCCAAAGGGCCCGAGTGTCCTTAACTGCCATGCTTGTATTTTATGCGGCACAAAGGGAGCATATGTAAAGAATGAACAGTGAATCAGAGTGAGTACAAGAGAGACAGAGACAGAAAGAGAAAGCAAATGATTTTGTAAACACAGATGGCTGTCCTTGGCATCCCTGTTAGTACTTCACAAGTGTTTTGAGGACATCCTCTTCTTTCCAAGATCTCCCAATTTCTCCTCGGCTGCCACTGTGTTACTGTTCAGAACAATGTTTGCATGTCTGCGCTTGATGCCTCAGCTCAACACTCAACAAAATGCAGGTATTGAACCTAAAGGGAAGATGCCACAAAGTGCCTCTGAACGATTGCATCTGCCAGACACATTTAAAATGATTAAACAACACAAGATTTGCTCTAAGCCAGTGATGTTATGTCAGCACTATTAGGCTTGAATCGAGGACACATTAGGCATTTATTAAATTCTTCAACACCTCAGCAACAATTAGACAGCAACAATTGCAACTGTCTCAGTTACGCTAATAATTAACTGCAGCGCTTATAGGAAGACAACTGGCGAATTTTGGGTAGTTCAATAACCTCAAGCAGACGTTGTAAGAAAAGGTCAATAACAGCTCTTCAGTCTCAGTGGGTGGAACATTCAAAGGAGGGCGAACACTCAGCTGAACTGCAATATTTCCTGTTTCCTCTTACAGTAGACAAGGTGAAAGACTAAAGAGGAAAGACAGAGTGTTGTGCATTGCCCTCTTTCAGTCTCCCAGAACCAGGGCGCCAGCCTACAACACAGGCTCTTTGTTAGCTTTGGACGACATTAAACGCTCCAGTACCAAGCCTCAGCGCTGCAACAGCACAACCTCAGCCTTGAATCGCTGCCCTGGAGGCCCTGGAAGAAAAATATGGGCTCAGAATGAAATGAAGCTTGTCAAATGGACACGGGAGTTGGCTCGAGGACTCGCTTAGTGTGGCACAGGGTCACAAAACCAGAAAAGACAGGGTAGGTAATGCCATAACTCGGCGTAACAGTTGAAGCAATTGTTATGACCAGAGTGGTTCTCCAGACAGCTAGACAGACATAACACGTTCATGAGAAAGAGAACAGAAAACGCTTGTTCTTCACGTGCCAAGATCTCCTTATTCCTAATCTGGCTGTTTTCACTGTGCAGTGAGCTGTTTTATAGTGCAAATGTATTCCAAGTAACATCAACAACCAATATTTAGACTTTAATGCTGTGTTTTGCACCTGCCAAGTCTGCATGAGTCCGTTGTATAATCCACAATTACAAGGCCGGCTTGCAAAGAGCACTTCTTAAAAAGGCATGTCAAAGCAGAGCCCTGATGTTGCTAGCTGTTGTTTTTACAGAACTTTCTGGGTTTCGCTGGTCACGTTGACATTTTTTCACGGGGCTGTGCTGCTGGCAGTCTGAGTTGCCTGCGGTTGTGGTGTACAGAGGTCATGTATAACAAATTCTTCACACTCTCTTTGTTGAGGCAACACTGGGTGCCATTAAAAACAGATGGAGAAAGATGAGACAGAGGGGAAATATATATATAGAGAGAATGGGAGAGACAATGAAAAACAGAAAGAGGAGCAGAGGCCAGGTTTTCCAAAGGAAACGGGGAAATTTAACCATTTAAAAAATAATGGGGGAAATTCAAGCCACATTGCCTGGGAGCTAAAAGCCCTTGGAGCGGGCCGCAGGAAGCCTGACCTTTGTGGGGACCGTCTGCTATTTGAGCCTCGGGCTTCAGGGGCCTGGCCTCCTCTCTGGAGGGCCGTCAGCAGGCCTCAGCTTTCCTTCCCTATTCTATTCATTAGCCATGCTTTATGATTCAGCTTCCTCTGAGCCACACAAGAGCTCCCTGAGGAAAGAGACTGCTGGAGAGCTGGAGAAAAAAGGGAGCGAGACTCAGGGAGGGAGGGGGTAAGCAAGAAGGAGGTCATAGGGCCCAGCCAGGGCCCAGCTCTCAGCAGCTGTGAAATCCTCCCGTTTCCTCGGCAGGCGTAAAAAGGAACAAGAGGGAGAAGAAAAAGAAGGAGTCCAGGGAGGGAGCTTGGCCAGTAAACCCACCATCAGAGTGCTAACTCCCTAAAGAGCCACATGGAGAACCATAATTCCCAGATTTAGGGAATGCCAAATTACAAATTACACTGCTGTTTGTTTTAAAAAGTCCCCAACTTCCCCGAACACCAGTGACTTATTGACTGCATAAATCTCCAGATAATTGCAGAGTAGCAGAAGGAGAGCAGGACATTTCCTGCAAAGCCAAACGCATTTGCTTTCACAGCAAAGAAGCGAGGAGGAATAATCTTTGAAAATGTTCCACGTCCACGCTCCCTTTACTTAAAAACACAGCAAGCTAATTAATTTGGAAAATCTGAAACGAGCATAATTGCACTCTTTTTGTGTTGAAACGCTTCCCTGCTTAATTTTTCGCACAATGGGCCAACTGAGCGAGGCAACGTGGGCAGTAAGGGAGGGCAGTATAATCAGCTGAACGACCTTGAGGCATAAATTTATGAAAAGCATTGATCAGTTAAGGCTGTAATTTCACTGAGACAGGAAGGTCAGCAATTACCCAGATTCAATTAACCTCATTTAGTAAAGACTGCTGAGAGACCAGTTTCTCTCCCCCATCCACCAGACACCCCCCCTCGTACTTTTTATCAAACGATCCCTCGGCCTCCAGCTACCTTTGATCTTACAGCTGCTGTTGTGTGCCCTGCACTCCTTGGAGCCAGAACAAATGACGTCCAAACAGGGTGAAATCTTACAGCCAAAGGTTAGGTAAACCCAGACTAAATACAAGCAGATTCCTAATATGGGCTCCTCCTGTTCTGTTCTCATGAAGGAGGAGCAACCCTTCCCCTCCCTGCAGAGAAATAATTTTTAAACAAGCTGGCAAAGCTATCACAACAGCTGTGGTGTGAAAACAAAGAAACCTGTTAGTAGGCTTTGTGGTGGGCTCACGCCTGTAAAGACTATAATTACAATTTAGTTCTGAGTCATTTGGCACGTACTATGTTCCTGACAGACCGTCGTAGGACAAGCACAGAGGTGGCTAATCTAAGCGCGTATATATACTCCAAACAAGTTTGCAAAATGACATTTTTCCTAATTGAAAAGGTGACTGTTGTAATTTGATTGACAGCTCAATAAGAGAGAAACAATTTAATGGGCAGCACCAAAAGACGATCAACTGACACGTACAGGAATACCATGGATACCAACTGAGCGTGTGCCTGTGCTGCAGCTAGCAGGAATGTTGTCCTACATAATCATGGGTAATAGAGCGGAGGAAGCAAACACAGCGCATCATATTGTCCGTGCTCCCCTGACTGGCAGGATGAGTGGGTCAAATGTCTTAGTGGAGGCAAAGACACTTGATGTTCCAGTGTAGGAGTACACAGCTGCTTTGTGCTGCACTGGTGTGACGTGCCGCTGAAAGACCTATCGGTAGCATGAAAGTGAACAGGAAGCCCACCTACCCCGAGAAGTGAAGTGCGCAAAAAGGACGTGTATCCTGAGATGGACGATCAGGCTCTCGATTACCCCGGCTGAACCTGTCTGACCGTGAATCCACACTTACTGCGCCCCCCTCCAACACCCACGTACACACAGTGTTAATTTGCTTCACTGCTTGGTGTTTCATCAATGTCAGATTCCTCCTTCACTGCCCTCTCTTCCAATTTTCCACTCACTGTCACCTGAAGCTGTGTCTCCTTTCAAAGTACAGGTCCATGTTTTGTCCTTGTTGTTGTTGATCTGGGAGATGGCCACCCGTGTTACTGTTTTAACACGCAATTACAGTAATTTGAAACCCTTATAAATACATATACAGTGGGGCAAAAAAGTATTTAGTCGGCCACCGATTGTGCAAGTTCCCCCACCTAAAATGACGACAGAGGTCAGTAATTTGCACCAGAGGTACACTTCAACTGTGAGAGACAGAATGTGAAAAAAAAATCCATGAATCCACATGGTAGGATTTGTAAAGAATTTATTGGTAAATCAGGGTGGAAAATAAGTATTTGGTCAATAACAAAAATACAACTCAATACTTTGTAACATAACCTTTGTTGGCAATAACAGAGG